TGTGTTTTTATGCAAATATGAATTATTTTATGACATTTCCTTTGTAATAGTGAAGAAATACGTATTGTTTATTGTTTTTCATAAATTCTTTATTAAGTTTCTTACTTTGAAAAAAAAAATATAGTTTTTTTTCCGAACAAAAGAACGTTTAGTAGACTGATATTGACTCCCATGAGAAACGTAATTTCTTACCGTTTATGTGTAAAACTATGATCTCTGCTTCTGATTAAATTTCGAGTGGAAAATATATCAACTTTCGATGACGATATTTTTAATAATAATATTTTTTTAATGATAAAATGAACTATGCTGTTGTAATTTTAAATAAATTTTAATATTATTTAAAATTACAATATTAATTTTTTTTGTAATATTAAAAAATATATAATAGTAAAAAATATGCAATAGTAAATAGTAGAAATGAGTGCTATGTATTTTTTCTTTCATTAATTTTATTAAACTTTTCTAAAAGAAAAAAAAATCGAGGCAATTTTTTTGCAAAAGTTTATTTGTTTTAAAAAATTTTTATCATATCCTTTTCAAATTCGATTTCTAATGTCGCTATCCTCTCATGTAGCTATTATCATTGTTTAACTTTTATATTTTATTCGGGATAAAAAAATAAATTGCATTTATATATTCGCTTATAATATAATTACATTTCTTTTAAAACCGGCAAAGATTTTTCCGATATTAAACATTTCGGGCACTTTAAAAGGTGGATATTCCGTTCATGCAGTGTAATTAATCTATAAATCGAGACATTTTGTTTAATTTTATTAATCACTGTAGAGTGCAATGGCTAGATAAGGACAAGTTAAATTTTAACCTAACAATCACGAAGAACTGTTACAAATTCACAGCAATTATAAAAATAGCATATTATTTTGAAAAACATTTCATCTCTTACCTCAGAAACGTCTACAGAAACCAAATAGAAATGAAATTTAATTGCTTTGCTCTTGTTCTAAGCGATTGAAAATTCCTTATTTCCGTATAAAATTGGAGTGGGTAGTGCAAAAAAAAGTATATATATTTTAAATAAGTTTTAAAAAATAATTTTTGCAGAAACATTCTTGTCATGCAATAGCCAAAACATTGTAAAACTTTAAATAAGGAAATATCTGATCATAATAAACTAGCTTATATTAAAATTTCTCAGGCAAAAGAGAAGAAAATAAAATATAATTAATAAAAATTGATGAAATAACGGAGAAATTTAACTAAATACCTATACCATTATTGCTTGGGCGTTGTGGAAATAAAGTTCCACTTGAGAACGGTAGAAATATGTTTTTTTTTATGTTCTTAAAAAATTATAAATGATTTCCTGCTTTTTTTTCAGTCTAGAATTCGTAACAACTTATTTTAAGGCGGCATTTTTAACAGGAAATATTTTTATAAAAAGAAAAAAAAGTACTAGCTAATCAACAATGATCCTCCCATCCTTTATTTCATATCCAAGACTGGCAACAACTTTTAGACGTTTTGCAATGAATTATAATTCGATAAATCAAAAACTTTATACAATAGATCTTCCGGATTTTTCAGGAAAAAAATACTCCAGCTTTTCCCATTTCCACAGAGTTAAATTTAATTTTGCATTCCATCTCTATACTAAATATGAAAGATACGCATATAATAAAAAGGAAAGGAAAACGTGCTTCCCGAAAAACTATTTATGCGAAAACTACAGAAAAAAAAAATTACTAAAAAAAATATTTGAATCTGTGCCGGTTCAAAATGTAAAAATGACATAACACTTTTTTTTTTTTTTAATTCAAAAGGTTGTAAGGTTTTTCATTTAGAAACTTAGCATTTATTTATTTCACTTTCTGTAAAATAATGAATCTGTTTTAAGGAAGGAAAAGGGTAGATGACATCATTGTGCAATGTGAAATGTTCAACAAAAGGATGGAAGAAACGGTTTCGGATCTGAACTCGATTTTGGCGACCAAAAACGGATATTTTTTTTACAAAAAAATTTTTCTAAAACAATTTATCTTTAAAACGGGGAGAAAGTATCTCAAATACCTCTTGTTGAAAGTTGCTGTTCTTTTCGAAAATTCGACCGGAACCGGAAGTGCACCTCATCACTCACATAAAACCTTCCACGATTTTTGTAGGGATTATAAATAAAAGCGCCACACGTTTTTACTATTCATGATCATATCGCCAAAGTAGTTCCATGTAAGCGCTTTTAAAACGTCATAAAAACGTTCTCTGAAATTACTTTGTTGATTTGTCTTGTGGTGTAAAAGTGTAATCCAATACGTTTTTTTTCTTTTTCCATATGAAAGAAACGTTTCCCACTTTTTGAATAGGAAACTGTGAAAGACAGATCAGTTAATTAAATTTTCTGTATTCCAAATACGCGCCATTTTTTTTCCAACTCAGATTCATTCTTTAAAATGTAGCTTCCGCCTGATATGAACTCAATGAAAATAAAGAGTTTTTTCAGTTTTTTTTCTTCTGAAAAAAAGGAAATAAACTGCCAATTTTGTATTTTAAAAAAGCTGGATAACATCTGGCTTGGAATTGAAATATATATTAACGACACACATTTGTTTGCTTGGTGCCACAAGAATGTGCTAAGCGATTTATGAGAGATTAAAAAAAAAAAAAAAATCTAGCTTCAAATTTGATTAAAGAACAGCCGAAAAGGATAAAGCAAATATAGAACAACTATCTTATGTTTGTTCCAAAACACTATGCACTAAAATTTTGGTTTAAGTCAACGTTGAAAAATATTTAGGCTGATTTGGTTATGATTAACAGAACCATATAATTTTTAGTTTTTATTGACAAAGACTATATCACTATAACGACTACAAAGGTCACCACAAACACGATTAAGTTTAAATAATTTTAGTAGATTTGCTTAGAAAAGGGATAGCCCCTTTTTTTATCTTTAAAAACTACAACAAGATATTATAAACGAAATAAAATCAATATAAAAATTTAAAAAAATATTAGTTTCTTCAATAATATTAGTTTCTTCAATAATTATTAGTTTCTTCAAATAATTAAATAGCAGTATAAAGACATTGCAGCACTGTTCTACGTATTTATTAACAGTGAGTTGAAAACCCAATGAATAAAAATTAAAAAAATCCAAATCGTAATAATAATCCTAATCGTAAATAATAATAATAATGTGGTTATTGTAAACATCTTTCTCAGGCACTTATATTTATAAAGGAATTTACGTTGCTATTAAAAAAAAATCTAAGAAAATTATTGTGAAACAAAATATAACATTTATTTCTTCATCGTTTTTGAAAATATTGATACATTTAGAGCTGCAAGTTTACAAAATTTCATATTTTATATTTAGACTTAAGTAAAATGGAGGGAACGCCTAGTAAAATTATACTTTTTCTTAGAATCGAAAGGACCTCAAACAGTTGATTTTTCTTATTTTCCTTGGTGAAAGAGCTATGAAAAGTATTCTCTAACCATTACTCGAATCACAAATCGATGATAGTTATCCTTCATTATTTCATATATATCATGATACTATTACTAATTCTACTATTAAATTTTGTTTCCATCATGATTCCTTAGTTTTCATTGAATTCAAAATGATCCCCTTTTGTTGGTATCAGAGGCAAAGTGGTTCCCACTCTTAATATTTGTAATTCGGAGTTTTTATTAACACATTAATCAGTGTACGTTTTTAATAACAGATTAATTAAAGCTATTTCTTAAAATTGCGATGGTTACTGAAATAAAATAATACTAGCTAATTACTATTCTTAATTTTGACAATAATATATTAATGATTTTGACAAAATGGGAAAATATTTTAAGTGTAACACTTATAAAAATGTTTACAATATGAAACGGAGAAAAGGAGTTTTTAATAACATTTCGGCATACATATCTTATAAATAAACTCGAATTAAAAAGTTCACTGTTACTATCTAATTTTTGTATTATTTAAATTTGAATCATTTATTTTTAGTGGTATCTTCTTTCTCGTTGCATTTCTTTGAATTTTAGATATATAAATGTAATGTAACAATTATATTATACCAGTAAAATAAAATAAAATATGTAATTTTAATTTTAACAGTTTCAAGAAATCACGCACACTAAACTATTGTCTTATAAATGCCCTTATTATTTCGAGAATGCTTACATTTCTGTCAGGGAATTCGCAGATCGTTTATTCTCATTAGACTTATAAACAAGGTATTGTTTGAATAATAGAACTATTTAGTGATTCTTTATCTGCTGACCTACCAAACGGTTATGGAATCTCGGGAAACCCCCAAAATTTCTAAGCCAACATTTTGGAATGCACTTTTGTACAGACAATAGGATAATAAAGAACATAATTTAGGATCACCCCAAAGATTCGACCACCGAACAAATCTGTCATTCCTTTTCTCTTCCACTCTCACTTTCTTCATATTTTCATCATGATCTTTGCCTTCCTCCCTGAACATTCCTTTTCGGGGGTAGTCGAACGTCACTTTCATTCGAGTTCTCTTGTCATCCTAATCGTCGCGAACCGTCGAAACTGTCACTCGCAGACTGCCCTGAAGGATTACGGACCGATGGCGTGTGACAGCGACCTCATCTGCCGGACCGCCCCGGTCCGGCTGCAGAAGACGATCCCGCCTTCTTCCACCTCCCCGACCCCCAGTTCGGGGTGCTAAAAATCTTCCTTTCTGTCCCATCCTTTTACGTCATTTGTCGCTGGAGATATGTCATCCTCGCTTGTCATCTTTACTTCTAACCCCTTCCCTTTTGCAGACTGGTGTCCAGAGTTTTCTTCTTCATAGAGTTCTTCATCTGAGGCACAATGTCACGAAGACTGAAAACCCCTCTTTAACCGCCTGTCACAAATTGTGTTCGTCTGTCGGTCAGTTGGGATGTGAAAAAAATAAATAAATAAAATAAAAAGATTGAGAGTAGATTTCAGGGTGGGAAGAGGTACATACCACTCTTAGAGAACTATTTATTTATTTCTAATTCTATACCTTCCCAAGGTTGTCCTCAAAGTAAAGAAGACGTCACATGTAAGACTTTAAATCGTCCGTGACATGCCGGGTCTGCGACAGAAATGTGAAATGGCTTAATGCTGCAAATGCTGTCATCTCTAGTTCAACTAAAAATAAGTAATTTTTTTCATTTCTTTGGATATTTTGTTAGAGTGTATAACAAATTTCCCAAAAATTTATCATCTTATATTTGTCATATTACAGTGTCATTATAAAATGTAGTAATATTAGGTCACGCGATAGTTAAGAAACTATCAATTCAGTAACATTATTGTAAAATTGTAATTTTTAATTTAGTAAAGCTAAAGTTTATAATTATAGTATGATGCGCCAGTAAAGTTATTTTTAATAGACAATCTAAAGTAAGAATCAGTAATTCAGGTTGCATACACACATACATTAATTTATAAAATGAAATTAGTTTGTAAATCAAATATACGTTGACCAGAAAGACGAATTTGAACTAGTATTAGCAAAGCAGGAGCGGATGGAAATTATACATTATAAAATTATTTAATACAGTCTGCTGAGACATGAAAATTAAAATATAAATATTCTTATTACACAACTAAAAGTATGCATACATATTTTTTTTTATCAGCTAACTTTAATTTATGTTAATGAAAAGAAACGTTGAAGACAAGCTGTAAACACTTGCCAAATCGTTATCGATTGTAAATCTCAAACGAAATCAAAAAGTCACATTATTGAAATTTTCGGAAGCAAATATATTTAACATATAGTGTAGAGCCAAATGTAAATTTTTTTTAAATTTTTCAGTATTTAGAGCTTTTATACATCTTTTAGATTGTATATGAAAGCTCGATATGGTAGTTAACTTGAAGAAAATAGTTCCAGCCCAACTTTTAGGGTTGCTCAACATCATTCTGTTTACTTTAGCAAATTGTTTTTTTTTTCTTTTCTTGCGCATTTGAACAATGAAAATTCTGGTAGAAACTTGCTCAATAAGTGCAAAGTATAGTGGTTTAAAAATTGCATAGAACTACCACATTTTGAAATTCATTCTTAGTTTTTAGTGTATTAACCAACTTAAATCTCTTTAAATCTGTTCTGCTTTTGCTACATTTCACTTCTTCCTTAATTTGAATAATGCGATGATTATAGAAAGTAGTTTATATTTTTAAATAAAAAATAGTTCTGAAAAGGTTTATTTTATTTCATAAACATTTAAATATGGCATTCAGATTTTCCATCTCAATCTAAAAGATTTTCAATTTGCGATTATTCCCCAACAAGCCACAAGCTACGCGAAGATCTTTTAAATATTGCTCGTATATCGAAGCTCGTAATTAGCAAGGGTGGCCCAAGCCCATCTGACAAACATCCCGGCACTTAACTAAAGAAGGACATGCCCTGGCTGACTCTTCAAGAGGCATAGATATATGCGGTACACTTTACCCGGGCAAGCTCAGTTAATAAAGGCTGCTCTAAGGCCCACAAACCCTGAAGTTAAGGGTTATCTTTCGCTGGAACGGGACGGATCATGGTTAGGACCTCTCTGGGACACTAAATCTAGCGTCCCGTCGTCCCGCATGTGATCCCAGGGAGCTATCCATCAAGGATGGATGGGGGCATTTGCCCTCCCCACCCCCAATTAATGCCGCCCACCCGGAAACCGGGTAATTTGCTGGTGTGGAATGTGGGCATTTCTTTTTCGAGCGGGCTTAACTCGTGCATAACTCTTCTAGATACCTTCTACATTCTCTCTAGCAATTAGAGATTAAAAAGGGATGGAAGGTGCTACGTTAATCTTAGTACAGTGACCAGGGTGTTTTAGAAGAACAGGGGGTTTCTTTAAGGTAAAAAACGATGGGCATAAATAGTACTGCGAATTAATGAGGAGGCGAACTTAATTTTGGAATTACAGTAAAGAGTTGAGTGAAGCTCGTTAGTGACGGTTTGAAAAATAAGGAATCTATTGATGAAAAATTGATGACATTTAAAAAAGTTTTTTTCTTAACAAAATTAAATAGCAAAGCATATCGTATTTCTGTTTCTTTCTTTTATTTACTAAAACTTTAACTCATCAAAAGTGAAATTTTGTATTTTTTGTGCAATATCTAATTAATTTATGAAAGTAAAATAGCAATTTATTTAATATTGTCATAGAAACCGAAGTGAAATATATTATTGTAATGTAGAAATGCTTTTATACACAAATTGAAATATATTCTTTAAAAAATACCTTAGAGATTAAAAAGGGATGGAAGGTGCTATGTTAATGTTAGTACAGTGACTAGGGTGTTTTAGAAGAACAGGGGGTTTCTTTAAGGTAAAAAACGATAGGCATAAATAGTACTGCGAATTAATGAGGAGGCGAACTTAATTTTGGAATTACAGTAAAGAGTTGAGTGAAGCTCGTTAGTGAGGGTTTGAAAAATAAGGAATCTATTGATGAAAAATTGATGACATTTAAAAAAGTTTTTTTTCTTCTTAACAAAATGAAATAGCGAAGCATATTGTATTTCAGTTTCTTCTTTTTATTTACTTATACTTTAAATCATCAAAATTGAAATTTTGTATTTTTGTGCAATATCTAATTAATTTATGGAAGTAAAATAGCAATGTAATTAAAGGATTGCAATAGAAACCGAAGTGAAATATACTATCGTAATATAGAAATGTTTTTATACACAAATTGAAATATATTCTTAAAAAAATACCTTTGTGTGATGGATAATATGAGAAAAATAAATATATAAAAATAATCCAACAAAAAATTTAGATATATTAATGAAGCAAATAAAATTGTTTTGTTCTTGTACTTATTTATATTATAAAATATTTATGTGATTGCGACTGCTATCTACTTTCTTCAGTTTAACTTCTTTTAATCAAATCAAGTATTATTAAGATGGGTATTGGCCAAATAATTATAACAGTTAAATATTTATAGTGAAGCAAGTATAATAGTAAATGAGTATAATAGTCAAAACGTTTTTTTAAAAAAATGCATACACGTAAACATAAAAAGTTTTCGAAATTTTTCTTATACGATTCCCCCTTTGGAACATAAAATACACATGTTTTTAACTTCCAAAATTAGTCATTGATCTACTATAGTTTTAAGCATGCTTTTATTGAAGAAAATTTTCTTTTGAGAATTTAACATTCTGAATCAGTATGTCTACATTTTAGAATTTTAATGCTTTATTTTCCGTTTTTTTATTGAAGTTACATTGTAAAAAATTTTTAAAATTTTTCATGTTGGTTATGCAAGCTTATAGCGTTAATTTTTTGTCTATGAAATGGGGTGCGACGCATTGAATTTTCGACGGCCGCATCTGTACCCCAGACCCCAGGTACCAAGAATTTTTTGTTTACAATGCGGTAAAAATTCCGTAAAGTCAGGGATTATCTTATGGAAGTTTCAGATTCTCACGAGTTTCTATCAGATATCTGTAAAGAACAAAAAGTTTTTTTGCGAAAAGTTTCTCGATTTCAGTGATTAAGATTCTTTTCTTTTCTTCTCTTTTTGTGTGTGTGGGTATAAGTAGTAACACCTAAATACATTTGTTATGTATTTTTTAATTACTTGAGATTTATGCTGCATTTTTATGCATTAATATTAAATGACAGATATCCAGGTAATTTCATTCGTTACTTTTCTAAATGTTGTAGTAAAGCTCTATGTAGGCACTTGTCTTCTTGAAGCTGGGTATGTACTTTAGTTGAGAGGATTTAGCTGTCATTCGGTGCATTTAGCTGTCATTCGGCTTAATCGGTGGTTCAATTTCCATGTGAAAATTTCCACTATTCCTTATATAGATGAAAAATTTCTACATTCTATTGAACCTGGAGTACAGGAAAAGCAACAGTCTCAAGCAGATATAGATGGCAGCACCATGGCTCCTCTCATCCCCATCCGACTCACTAGAAGACCATTTTTTACTATCCATCTCTCACACTAGATGGCACCACTGAATAAAAATAACTGTACCACGTTCCAAGAAAAAACATAAACACAACTCATACGCTACTCAAAGTTGCTGATTTATTTCACAAACGTTAGTGGCTCTTAATGTGAAAGTTTCTAGGTTTTTAAAGTTTCAAGTTGTTCCATCAATGTTACTGACTAGTGGCAAGATTTCTGAATTCTCGATTACTTTTTGCTAAAAATGCTACGAATATAATTTGGATACACTAGCTGCCAATTTTCAAGGCATATTGCTGAATTCTTTTTACAGTATATAGGTTGTAAACTTCTTTTTCAATTAAAAATACTTAATACTGTAACTGCTGTATGTAATTTTGTTATCCAATTTAAATAAATTGAGTGAATTCAAAAGATCGATCTCGATTTAAACTTCATTCAATCAAAGTGTCCCACGTTCCATACATTTCCAAGGGAATGACTTTTTTCACTATGTTTTTCCACGTGGCAATTAAATTATTGCGGATATATATTATGAGCAACTACGTGAGTTGTGCCAACTGACCATTAATTACTTTAAATGGATCGCTTGCTGACCACGTAGTTACTCAAGGCATTAGACTTATACCTGGTGCGTAACCTGCAGCTCTCAATGTGGTCACCACTTACGCTGCCTGTTCGAGCAAAATCCCCACAGCGCAAACTTTTGTCTGTCTTGACTTTAGCTCCATGCTAAACTATAGAAAATATGACCGATATATAGCCAGACCGATGTCAAATTCCGACAAAGGTGAACTCAATTGCAAAACTATGACCAAAGATGGCCACCGCGTCTGAGTGCTCAGCATGCAAATCCAATCTGGAAGGATACCTTGGAGATGAGGGAAGATTTCCAGGAGAGAAAAGGGAAGGGACAACTTGCGGTTTTGACATCTTCCTGTCCCGAGTCCTGTATTTAACGCGGTGGAAAATATCCGAAATTAATCTTCGTTTGGAAAAGCACGTTTAATTTGCGTTTGTCACCGGAAATACCCGGCAATACTGACGGTGACGGTAATGACGTGCAGAGAAGAGAAGACGGGCCCAAGACCGGCTTAAAGTTGCTCAGGAAGAAAATCTACACGAGTGAAGGAATTGACGGCAGACAAATATCCTCTTCTTTCCTCCCGACAACCCCCTTTCTCTACCCAAAACGGAGAAAAGGGGGGTAGCACGACAGA